CGTTTTGGATAGGTACGTGCCGCCAGCGGTCTAAATCCCTGACCCTGTTTAAGACACTAAAAAGTAAAAATCCATACCCTGTTCAAGACAAATCGGAAAAATAAGGAATAGCTATTTACGCCGCAATCATCAAAACTGCAAATATACTGACATCCATCAAAGACAATAAGAAGTTTTTGATAACACGTTAATTCTGGGCCGTGAAGGAATTTTTTCCCAAAATCTTCCACTCTCCCCCCTCCCCCAGAAATTCTAATGGATCACACCTACCAACAAGGTCTCCCAGACACTCAAGTCAGGGCATGGACAAAATTTGACATTTGAAATAAGAAATTTTAAAATTAACTGAGTGTCTGTAACGTACAAAACAACTACATGAAAAAATGATGAAAAACGTTGTTTTCATTTCAAAAATTTCTGAAAGTAATCTAGTTAACCGTGATTCGAAGAAATTAGTCGTGAGTCGTGAAATAGCCAAATTTTTAGCCGTGAGTCGTGATTCGTACCACCCCATTGAGACCCTCTTGCAGAGAATCAATGCGAACTTACTATGAATGAGAATGAGCTTTGGTCGTCGTCGTCGTAAGGTTACAATTCAAAGTAGCCAATAAAAGAGAAATCAGAAACTATAATACAGCGTTTTGTCAAAAAAAATGTGAAAAATTCAACGTATATTCATTTTGTATGGGTCATGTGCCCCGTAGACTAACTACAGCTGACCTTATTAAATTAACAGAGAGCTTAGTTTTATTTATACATATCGTTTATATTTTCATAATTTTTGCAAAACGATGCATATCAAATGGAAACTGGAGRACAAAACGGAAAAAAACTGGCTAGCTAAAATGAAATGGTCCCGGTTTAACTGTTGTTTAAGTGCTGCGTTGTATAGCAAGTGTGCTCCCCTGATGATATTAATCATCTATTTTTTAATGAAGGAATGCACTCTAGTGTAGACCCATGTAGTCACTATAGTGCTAGAGCACTGTGACCGAATGTAAAAAGGGCTGGTCAACCAATTCCAGATTGACGCTAGCCGCCACAAGTACGTGAAAAGTATCACGAGATAACTGAAAAGAAATAACGTTAATTATCATATTSTTTTTAGATAGTAATAAGGAAGTCCCTATGAGCCCTGTCAATCTACTGTGCTATGATGCTGCCGTTCCAATTCCACKCGTCCTTATTGACAAAACGTATACTCGAATCCAAGAGAGAAGCTTCCTTCGTCAGTTTTATGTAGAAACASGAGGGAATGACTGGTATCTGCGATATGGTTGGTCGTTATCAAATGCGTCACAGATGACGTCACATATAATCGATCACTGTAATTGGACGGGAGTCATATGCAAGGAAGGTTACGTCATAGGTCTGACGTTGAACATGAACAATCTTACAGGTCGAGTGCCACAATTTCTTTGGAAATTTCGCAATTTGATGGTCCTTTGTCTTCCTAATAACAAACTTTATGGCGAGCCAAAGAATTTTATTTTTCCTAACATGACAAAATTGTTGAGAATTGATTTAGCCTTCTGCCATTTGTCTGGCTTTTTACCTGACGACTTTTTTACAAATCTCAAATCACTTGTGAAGGTGCGTCTTTGCTGCCAGAAAAACTTGAAGGTTCGATACCCAAGAGCATCGCCGATTTGAAGGACTTGCGTGTTCTAAGTCTAGGAGAAAACAAGTTCAGTGGAAGAATACCTCGCGGTATAGGGAAGTTAGATAAAATTTGGTTCTTGGATCTCGAGTTCATGCCTCGTCTRTATGGAAACATCAAGTGGTTCGTTGGAATGAACTCATTACAATATATGCACTTGTCTAATGCAGGTAAATTATTATGTTATCGCCACAGTCATACAATAAACAACGGAGGGGCGGATCCAGAAATGTTAAGGGAGGGAGGAGTGGGAAGGGAGGCGTGTGGATCCAAACATTTCCCCTGGCAACTCCATTGAATCCGTCCCTGGTTATTACCAATATTGTTCTGTTTAAAAGACAGAGACAACAAAGTCATATATATATAGTTTTGCTGAAGAAGGCCGAAGTGCCGAAGCGTTCAATAAAAAGTAGAAAACCTAGTTACAAGTTGCGTGGCTTTTTCTTCATTTATTCTATATATACAGCCTTTTTCAAAAATTGTCCCAAAACCATTTATACTCTCTTTATTGCGTAAATCCCGTGCACATGACACCGCACGCCGATTAATAACGCTGTATTGTAACTTATTTCACTTTGCATATCATTAGGAGTATTGTGAATAGTGTGAAAATCACATGAAGTTGGCCATGATAGACKCAATATAATTTCTGTGTTTGCCGTCAGAAAATGACTGCATACTGCCAAGGTTTTCATTGTTTACAAAGCTATTCAATGTCGAGTTGTTATATATTGTACTGCTAACAATTAAAAAATAAATTGCGCGCACGGTTTTGAGTTGTACGTCCTAGTGCTATTGACACACATCTCTACTTGACGCCATATAGAATGATTTCAAAACAGGAGAGCAGCGAAAATTCAGAATTCAAAAAAATTGTACTTACTCCCGCTATACTTTACTCTGTMTATTCAAATAAGCAATATTAGAAAAATATATTCTGAAATGAAAAAATAAAAACAAGTGTTATGTTTTTATGAATTTATTTTTTTATTAGAGTAGTTCCCGTGTTTGGGATTTGTACATTAAAATCGTCGTAAAGTTACCATAGCCCAAATTCAAAAACTTTCTGTTTAGCGGATTAGACAAATAATTATATTGCTCGAATACAGTTTCCGAGTTGAAATAATGCTAACAAACAATAATTCAAAATTTAATCCCTTTTTTCTCCCCGCAATTTAAGCAGGGTTACAGAGAGTGTGGTTTACATTGRATGCCTGTAAGTCACCCGTTCCACTAACTAATGCTATTCCTTCTAGGAATACAAGGTGAGTTACCACGTGACTTTGGCTACCATTTCCCAAACATGACGGAGCTTCAGTTACCCCAAAATGGCATCAGTGGGAATATTCCAGCAAGCATCAAACAAATGATCAACCTAACGAAAGTSATACTAAGTGSTAATACTTTGAGTGGAAAGATTCCCAAAGAGCTGGGGCATCTGCCAAAGTTAAGGATTCTTGACTTGTCCAACAATGATCTTCAGGAAATTGATACTGATTTAAGTTTCAAGGAAACTCTAAACTTTGAGATTTTGCTACTTGGAAATAATGAACAATTGACTGCAGATTTTGAAACTCTMACCGRATCTTTGTTACTGACTGGTGGTCAGGCTAGCGCGCTTCGAATCGTAAATATCAGCAATTGTAATTTCTATGGGCATTTTGACAGGTCAATATGGGGTTTGACTAGTCTGATTGAGTTAGACTTGAAGAATAATAACATTAATGGCACCATACCCGAAGTGCAGCATGACCTTATGTTCTTAACTTATTTAGATCTCTCTTACAACCGCTTTGAAGGTGCTGTACCTAGTAATTTCAATAGGATTTTGCAGTCACTTGTGTTTTTTGATATCAGGAGCAACTCCAATATGAGAGCTCCGATGTCCGAAGTGAATGTAAGCAGTGGATACATCCAGGATGTCATGCGTGTAGAACAAAATTCGCGTCAAAAAGACGTGGATTTTAGCTGTCCTTTTGCTACTCTGGTTTCCACTAACGGAACTGTATTACTGGATGCCAGTTATTACGACTTCAAGTTTTGCGTATGTGGTGAGGGCTTTTATGGAAGTGCAGCAAAGTGTAAGAGYTGCATGACTAATGGTGATTGTTCGGGAAAACCATCAACATATAACAAGGAAATATTTATGAGAATCAAACAGAACTATTGGCCATCTCCATCATCTGTTAACACAACTCACTTGGCWAAGTGTCCAAGTCTTCCAAGTGACAAGGCTTGGGCATGTAATCCTACTGGACAATGCATGTGCCGAGTGAATATTTCCAGTGGAACAACAGTCTGCGACAAATCGTGCATCTGTCATACAGGCAGCACAGATCGCTTTTGTTCCAGGTGRCTGCCCAATTATTACAAGTCTGGATCGCTTTGCGTGAAATGCCCAAAAGGAATCAACATTAGTTTGTATGCACTTATTCCAGTGGTCATTTTACTCATTGTGGTGATGGGAATCGTTTTTTATTGCTGTAATCAAAGTATTAAAGCAAGATTCATTGSTATWGTTTTCGAGTTAGTAATCGTTTTTACATTATGGATAGCTCACGTTATTCCAAGCTGGATCCTAGAAATTAATTTGGTAACTTTGTTCTTCTACGTTGCTGGAATAGCGCAAAACACGCGTGGAATCATGCCAATATTGGTTTTCTACATTCAAGTTCTTGATGCCATGACATCTGCCAATAGTAGCCTTTACCCTYATTTTGTCATTTCTCTACAGGATTACATGAGCAGTATAGTAAACCTGAAYTTCACGGGTATTTATTGCAAGTTTCCTTGGTTCTTTACTCCTTTGGGAAATTACACTTTTGTMTTTGCTTTTCCCCTGGMATGTTTGTTGTTGATTTGGCTGTATTATGGTCTACGAGTTTGTCTTGGAAGAATATCTTTTAACCGAGAACAACCTCAAGAACGTGACAAACTTTTGAAAATTCGRTGTTCGTGTCAAAAGGCTTGCATTACTTGTCTTGGTCTCACATTTTTTCCAGTAAGTAAACGAACTATCTCCATATTAGCGCCRTGTCAAAACGATGGCGATTACTTTTATATGCAAGATTCCCCATGGATTCAATGCTCGGACGCTGACCCCACTTACCCAATACTTGKAGTATTAGCTTGGATGGGTGTAATTTTCTATGTCATTGGTATACCAGTAGCATTTTTGGTTCTTCTGATTTGGTACTACAGAAAAAAAGATGATTTTACTCAGCTAAATAGGTCCCTCTGTGATTCCTGGCTTGGTGGCTTATATCGACCTTACAAGAAAAGCGTGAGATGGTACTTTGAAATACTCAAGCTTKTTAGAAAACTCTTTATCGCAGGATTTCTGGCTGTTTTTCCGCAAACAAGTTCACTTCAAACTTTATCTGTTTCCACGGTACTAATACTAGCGTTAATTTATCAAATGGCATACAATCCATATAAAGTCATTGGTAATCAAGTTTCTTTTGAGAACATTTTAGAAGTACTATCTCTTGCAATATTGCAGCAGTCTTTCATRATGCTTCGATTTGCTTCTCTGGACGTTYAGGTCAGCAATGGACTTGTAATAGCTGTCATTGTGATTAACATCGTGGCTGTGGGATCATTTCTTTTTGCCATAGGTTGTATATTGATCAAATCATACTGCGTAAAACAGAAAAATCAGCCTGAACAGCAACCCCTTATATCAGGACGAAAACGGACGCATTCTATTTAGCCTAACCCTGACCTTTAGGCAACCGCCAAGAGCTAGAATAAAAGCGTCTAGTACTTTTAAAGTTAACAAACTGTTGTCAACTTTGTTCCTCTAGTAATCTCTCGGGTTGAACTAGATTAACTAAGACTCTTATCATATGAAACAACTGTTACAAGGACAAAGGAGACAAACATACACAGGCTGGATCCTAATCAGATAGTTATCGAATACACAACAGTTCGCAGACTCTCACAAAAACAGTCCTTAAGTCCTGCGCGGTCTACCTTTGTTTACATCTGTTTTGACGTAGATGGAGTAACTGAGAGCGCTTATTAGTCGGACTAGCCGAAGGCTAGGTCGACTTTAGTTTTACCTTTTAGCCTATCGATCAATCTATCTATCTATCTATCTATCTATCTATCTATCTATCTATCTATCTATCTATCTATTATGTCGCGTTTGGACCACCGGAAGTTAAGAATTTAATAATTAACTATTGGGTTGGCTGTGTTATTACATGACCGGAAGCTCAAGCGTATTGACGTACGAATATCGTTAGTAAATGTCATATGCTACTTGGCTTTTATATGACAAAAAAACTATTCGTTTACAAATGTGGTATCTGTGATCTCATCGGAATGCATCTGTCTAGGCATTAGAAGTACGCGCATGTGCAGATCGCATAGAGTTTCGATTTGTATGCTTACAAAACTGAATCAATATCCTTTCTAGTGTTAGACAGTCTTGTGGGGGCAAAGATTTCAAATTAGAACAAGAAGAAACTTTGTTGATCAATAACAAAAAGGCGACTTTGATTATTTTATAGGCATCTTTTTAAAAGTTAGGTGATATTAAACCATTTTGCTGGTGGAGATATAGGGACGATATACTAGATTTTTGGACGTTAGGTGAGGAAAAATTACAGGAATTTACCGATTATATTAATAATCTTTATCCTACGATTAAGTTTACTTGTACGCATTCCCAGGATAAAATTAACTTTTTGGATTTAACTTTACATTTAGTGAATGGTAGGATAGAGACCGATGTATATTCTAAACTACCGATAGTCATTTATATTTACCACCACCTAGTTCGCATCCGTACAATTGTATCAATTCTATTCCATATAGTTTAGCTCTCAGAATTAAGGGTAATTGTTCTAATGATTTGTTTTATGAAAATAGGTCAGCTGAATATAAGGGTTATTTGATTAACCAGGAGTATAACAAGAAATTAGTTCATAAGCAGTTTGAAAAAGTTTCATCGCTTGATAGAAGTAGTCTTTTAAAGGTTAAAAAAAGACCTAAGTTTAGTAACGTTATACCTTTAGTTACAGATTTTAATACAAATTTACCTAATGTTGATAAGATTTTAAGACGTAATTTACACATTTTAGAGTCTACAGATTTACTTAAGAGTATTTTTTCAAATAAAATAATTTTTACTGCCTATAGAAGGCCTAAATTTTTGAGGAAAATATTAGCACCTTCTAAACTTAGGGATAGGATAGGCACTAGTGAGACTGATAATAGTGAGACTGGTTGTGTTAAGTGCACCAGTCGACGCTGTGACCTCTGTAGCAACTATTTTCAGTCTTCTAGAAAATTTAGCAGTTTTGTTACTAAGAGATTTTATCTTATCAAGCAGAAATTAGATTGTAAGTCTAAGAATGCTATATATTTAGCTTCTTGTAATAAATGTAAATAATCGCAGTATGTAGGTTCACTAGGAATGAATTTAAAGTTAGGTTTCGTAATCATAAGTCCGCTATGCTTACGAACATAAAAACTTGTGAGGTAGCCATTCATTTTAATAGTATACCACATAATTTAAGTGATTTTAGCTTTATAGTATTAGAGTCGTTAAATAATTTAGAAAATATTGAACGAGATCTTTTAAGTAGAGAAGCGTATTGTGGTGCCATCAGCTTTTTACATTTCACCCTCATGGCTTAAACAAACGCTTGGAATCGAATTCAAAGAATAGGGTTAATTATTCTGCTTAGGCGCGTTTATCCTTTTTATCCAGAGTATGAAATAGTCTTTATTAGTTTGTTTAGTTTAACTTGTACCTAGCATTGTTTTATGTCAGTTGAAAGTTTTTTAGTTACGGCTCTGTGTTACTAGTTACCAGTTAACCCCCCCCTCTCTCCCGAATTTTTATTTATTTTTGTATTTATTTATTTATTTATTTAATTTTTTTCCGGTTCTGTGGTACTTTCAGCTGATATAATATAATTGTTAGATGGATGGAGTTTTGAAGGTTGCTTGCAGGGGCAGTAGCTTTCATGTCCTTCCTTTATTTGTATTAATTATTTATTCGTATTAGATTTAGTAATTTCCTACTTTGGTGTTGTTCATCTGGCTTGGGTTTGTTTGATGTAGTTTCTGGTTTGGCTAGCTGAGTGCGTTGTATTAGCTACTGCTTTCTTTGGTTTTGTAGGTTAGCTTTTAGGTCCTAGAACACTCAGTTTGCTGAAGAAGGCCGAAGTGCCGAAACGTTCGAATAAAGAGTAGAAATACTAGTTGCAAGTTGTGTGCCTTTTTCTTCAATTTATTCAATGTATATTTAAGAAATATAAAACGACGCTCGTGTCTCTGTCCTCTGATATAAACACGGTGGGAGTTCGAAAAACACGAGAGAAGCAAGCTTAGGAACACGAGCGTAGCGAACAAAATCAAGACAAACTTCAAGACAAAGAAGWTGCGGTGCAACGATTTCCGCTGTAAAACYCTAACAGGAAATTGAATTTTTTTTATTTTCAGCTAAGCTTTGATTYCCAGGATATAAAAAACAATGCATCAGCTGRAATACGYGCAGTACATAGTCACAAAATAACTYGCAAGGTATGCCAAGGTCTTCTTCACACTATAGCGAAAGCCCTTGTATAAAAAGAGCAAGTAGTAAATTACAGTTAGGTGTAGTACATGTTTTTTCATGTTTTTATTAATTTTTAGGTAAATTCATAACAAAACTCATGATGTCATCCACACATGGACCTGGCATAAATCTTCATCTCAAAGAACTTTTTCAATGAAACACAAGATTTGATTTTATGCTTCTATTTGGAACTCGTCATAATAAACAACACTGTCATGATAATGTTTTCACAATTTTATTGTGAATACAAATATTTTTTAACAACTGCACAATGATTACATTAAATACATATACATTATGTAACTTGTAAGTTATATCTGACATGCATCGAAAAAAGACATCTGTCTAAAGAAATACTGAAGTCCATTTTTTTGTTTATTTTCTTAAATGTTTTTTTTATGATTTTTTTGGTGAAACATTTTTTGCAAGCTTTTTTTGATTGGACTTCGAATTTTTTTGTTATTTTTGTCATTAATTTTTTGGGTATTTATTATTATTTTTGTTCAAATATAACACCAGATGTCACCATGAAACCTGCAAAGAAAAAACATTTGTCAAAAATTATGTCCTTTTTGTCATAAAGATAATTATTTTATCAGCAGTTTTTCATGCAGCATTATTCTGTATTTACGACATTGGAAAGCCATCTGTCTATTAGGTATGACTGAATATGGCATGCATCATACATTACTATCATCTACATCTTAAAATGTTTTACCTGTCCTTAGTGAATCTGATGTTTAGCACCTCATCTCTTCATTTACACCTCAAGGTCACCATGGTGCCCTTGAGGAGCCTGGCTGACTTCATCAGGTATAGCCTGCCCYTCATCCAGTGCCCTGTTGTCTTGGCCCTCACTGGCATTGCTATTTAGCCTGTCAGAACCTTTGATTTGTGATCTTACTTTGAGTTGGAGATCCATGATRGCCTTCTTCAATTGGCTACCTTGATCACCAGGCTCTTTTTTCACTTTCTCCCRCTTCTTTTGGGCAAGTTTCTGCACCAACATATTGTTGTATTCATTTGTTGCATTCAGCCTTTGCTGAAGAGTTTCAGCCATAATTTTCTTGTCCGTAAGCGTGACCATCAAGGCATTCAATTTACTCCTCATTTCACGATTCTTTTGTACCAATTGGAGGCCTATCTGATCTTTTTGTTCAAMCTGCTCTTTTAAGTTGGCATTGTTTTCCTCCAAGGATTTGTATTTCCTTTCCGTATACTSYAGGGACATTCTAGAATCTTCTAGAAGAAATTCAAGGTGCTGCAATTTATTTTCTAGATCATTCTCATCTGTTTTGCGTCTTTCATAGGACTCCAGTCTTTCTATGGCATTTTGTTCAGTTTTTTTGGCTTTTGCAAGAAGTGCTTCCAGATCAGCTATTTGATTCATAAGTTTYGATTGTTGTGTATCTCTGGCTTGTTGTTGAGTTCTTTTAGTATCAGCTATAAGTTCTTCCAGATAAGCTATTCGCTTCATATGATATTGTTCTTTCTTACCGGAATCTTMCTTAGCTCTTTCCGCATTAGTTAGATCCTCTTCCAGCTCAGCTATCCTTTTCATCAGTTTAGTCTTCTCAATGTTGTTATCTTTCTCCATCTCTTCTCTTTGGGTTTTCATCAACACTACCTCAAGATGGAGATTTCGCTCTGAGGTTCTGMCTTCATCCAGGGATCGCTGAAGGCCAAACAATTGATCAATAAATTCTTGTTGTTGTGCTGCAAATTTCTCAATTGTTTCAAATTTATTACAGAGTTTTTGGTTTAGCTCGTCATTTTTGTCAGTCAGGCTTTTGATTGCTGAATGMAGATCTTGCTCAGAGCTTATGGAATCCTTGAGTCGGATTTTGTTRTCCTGTAGTGTCTTAAGTAAGTCATCCCMCTCTGTCTTTGAGTGTGAGAGATTTTGAGTTAACTCATCATTCTTGACACATAGACTTGTGATTGCTGAATGGAGCTCTTGRTCAGAACTTCTGGAATCTTTGAGTTGMATTTCAGTTAACTCTAGTGTCTTGAGTAAATCACTCTTTTCTCTTGTTAAGTGCAGYAGGTTTTGGTTTAGCTCATCATTCTTGTCACTAYGGCTTGTGATTGTTGAATGGAGTTCTTGCTCAGATGTTCTGGAATCTTTGAGTTGGATTTTGCACTCTTCTAGTGTCTTGAGTAAGTCATCCATATTTGTTGTAAACTCTAAGAGGTTTTGGTTTAACTCYRCATTCTTGTCYCTAAGGCTTGTGACTGTCAAATGGAGCTCTTGCTCAGATGTTCTGGTATCTTTGAGTTGGATTTTGCACTCCTCTAGTGTCTTGAGTAAGCCATCCCTCTCGGTTATAATCTGTAGAAGGTTCTGCTTCAACTCTGCATTCTTGTCATTCAGGCTCTTGATTGTTGAATGGAGCTCTTG